GCTTTGGTCCATTCATCCTGCTTGCTGAAGATGGCAGAGAGCAAACCCTCACCTCTGGTCTGGATTTACATCAGGAGAATGCATCAATCCTTATTGTTTTCTTCTTATTTCTTGTCACTTTTATTTTTCTCTACATTTACCACCATCTGCCCATGCCTGCTTGTTGTGCCATGTTTCCTGACTGCATGATAATTTTTTATCCTAGGAGAGCTTGTTGAGGCTAAAATATGAGAATGGAACACATTCAGAAATATTGCCCTTATGAAATTAATTAAAAATGATTAACAAATATAAATGACTCACCCAACCATCAGGCTGGCTTGTCCAGGAACTCTAAATCAGTGTATAAAGCAAACGCCTTAACTGGGTACCAACAGATTAAAGAATCTGATGCGATTTATGATTCTTGAGATGGATGCCACTTATTAGCACACATTCTACATTTTTTTTTTTTTAATCCTTGGATGGTACTGAGTTCCACTAACTCAGATTTCTTACCTTACATCACCACCAAACAAACTTTAAATAGTCAACTCTGGGCATTTCAGGTGTTCTACGACCACAGTAGTTCATGTGATAAGGAGTCATAAATCAGGGTTCCACCCTCAGTGCTAAAACTTATTAAATGACAACGGACAAGTCACTGCACTTGTTAAGCCTTAGCTTCCTTAGCTAGAGAATAAACAGAAGAGCTGCCATGCCTACTTGACAGGATTTTAAGGAAGGTCAAGAAAGATCAGGTCTATAAAAATACTTTATAGTGTTATATATGTAAAGCAGTAAAAATGTTTGTTCACATTATTACACCATTAGAGGGGCTAACAGTTTTGTCCTATTTTTTTTTTCCTTTTCTGTTAATATTTAAGTGAGTTAATACATGTTAGAGTAGTATCTGGTGTTTAATGTTCAGTAAGTGATAGCCATTAACTTTATTATTATAAGGACATATTTTCCAAAGGTCTTCATTAGCTCTTGTAAATAGGACAGAAGAAGAGATCACCTGGAGATTAAGGTAATGCAGTTATGGAAGTAAGAGTGACTGCCCATCCAATATAAATGCCTATTTCCTACCCCTACTTTAAATTAATAGAAAAGGGAAGAGTAGGAAGAGATAAATATGGGAACCCTAATCTAAGAGAAGAATAGCTTAAAAGTATATGACTGGCACAGAGTATTCTAAAGAAATTTATTCCCCCTCACAATCCTTTTTAGCTGAAGCTGATCCAGAAGCTTAAATTTCTGAATTTCCTTCTCTTTACTACTGATCTTCTGTGTAACCTTCAAGTGAGCCATTTAACCACTTGGTCTTCTCAGATAAAAATCTGATAACTTCCATCTGTCCAAGATAGACTGATATGTGTTCATCAGAATGTTATCAAGATAAAGCTTATTGTTAAGTTCCTCAAAAGAAGCAAGATGCTATCAGACCTCCATGGAAACAGGTGTTTATCTTATTTTTCTTACTTCCTCTCCCGCTCTCCCTCCCGCTCACATATAAACACGTTTTGGCTGTGGTAATAATAATGTGGGAAGGGTTCAAGTATTAGTAGTCATCAGATAAAATCTGTTAGATAGAAAATGGAAAGTTTTTGACTTTATGAGTAGAGTTTAGAGTAGATCACAATGAGAATTTAAGAGAGTTTCCTTCACTTTATCATCAACCTCATCTATCACTCCTCTCCTTAATCACATGTGGAAATATTTTATTGGTCTGTGACATACAGTGCCATAATATCAACACTTTCATATCAGGAAAGCTAGTACTCCATTTGTTCTGTTCTTTCTCTCCTGTGAAAAGAGAACAGTCTATTCAACACGTCTGAAATTATTAAGTGATTAAAGTCATCAGAAAATTGCTTATTCTAAGAATTAAATGTAGTGTCTAAAGTATGCTATACTTTTAAGAACTCAGAAGTCCTCTGTTCAATAGGATAAAGGATAAAGTATAGGTTAGGATATAAATCTAAGTTCTCATACAAATAAAAATACTTAGACATATACACACTATACACAAATACAGTATTTTTTTTCATGGTAGAGGATGTGAAAATTAAATATTCCAAGAAGAAAATCTATTTCCTTGACTGAGATAGGATACTAAATAGGTCAAGAAGCTAGAAATAAAAATCCTATGAGGGAAAAGAGAGAAACCTAAACATGGTAAGATCATCTAACATAATTGTAAGGATGATTTATCTTTCAATATTTTTCTATATGATCTTCCTATGAACTTTTCTTGGTGAGAAATAGAATTCAAAATACCTCATATTTCAGGTTCACACAAACTTTGGGGTGAAAGATGGGTTGTGCAAAAAGATTTCAACTTCTACAGATTATTAGGTTTTAGCTGCCTACTTTATTTCCCGCTTAGCCAGGAAGAAGCTGAAAAGAAAGAGTAAGAGTAAAGAAATACACATAATGGAAAATCCATAAAAACAGAACTCCTAATTAACAAAGTGACATTTTTAAAATAAGAAAAAAATGCAATTAATATTTCCTACCAAAAACAAAAAATAAACTATTAGACTCTAATTAAGAGGTTATTTTAAATTAGAAAATTTATGATATTTACGGAATCTTAAGAATGGATAAAAATACATGTGCACACACCAATTTTACATACTGGAGAGAGAGTAGAAGAGAATACGTTATATATGAGTCCCAGATTAGTCATCTTCCATCCAGACGATGATCGTAGTACAGTCTATTATAATGAAAGACTTATACTAAGTTTCATGGGCTTAAAATATGAATGTTTGAAATTGTATATTATGAATAACCAACAGTTATTTGTCATAGGTATTCAATCATTTAAGTGTCTAACCCTCTAACCTCCAGACATTAAAATGTCATATTAATTTCTTTAGGGAGTTGGCCAGCTATTATGCACCATGTAGAAGCAATATAAATCAAGCCATCATTTACCTCATTTTATTCTTCCTACTTTCCAGGATAAATACTCAAACTGCAAGCAAAAGCTGTAGGACAACACTACCTATATTACGTACAGTTTGTGATAAGCAAAGCACATAATGACTACCATAAATCTTAAGGAATATCAGAATTCTTATGCCCATACCACTTGATCTCACAGTGAGAAAGTTGAGTATTTGGAGAAATGAATGCCTTATTAAAATTTGGAAACCTTCATTAGCACAGTTTACACTAGATAGCTACAAATGGACTACGACAGTGATTTCGACTAGGGCACATCGGCCTTAGCCACTACCCATCAATGACAGTTGGTCCTGTCTGTAATGTTTTATAGGAATACAAAAAAGCACAAGAAAAATTCATTTTGTCAAATTTAAATGCCCAGAAAAGGGCAGAACAAAAAAAGATTTTCAGTAACAGAGAACATATTTTAAATTAGGTTGATAAAATAGATATTCACATAGGATATTACTGCATTGCATTATTTGAAAGCATGATGTTAGCCTTGTTACAATTCTGCTCCATCACCACACTTAGGATGGTGGACACAGAACAGTCATGGTATACCACATCCAGAAAACAAACAAACATGTTGTGTACTCTACTGACAGGCCTTTATTGAGCTGATAAAGGTGATGAAAAATGAAAGTACATATTAGAGGGAAGGAGGAGATGATCAAATATTAAAAATGTAATCCAGGAAGTTATAGTCTATCAAGGATTATGATTAAAATCAAATTCACAGGGGTGCCTGGGTGGTTCAGTCAGTAAGCATCTGACCCTCGATTTCGGCTCAGGTCATGCTCTCAGGGTTGTGAGATCAAGACGTGCAATGGGCTCCACACTCAGTGAGGAGTCTGTTGGAGATTCTTTGTCTCCCTCTGCCCTTCCCCCGGCTCACACATGTGCGCTCTCTTAAATAAATAAATAAATCTTTAAAGTGGAGTTTCTTAACAAATCCTGATTTAATCTAATGGGTCACTGGGCCCTAATTACTATCTTTAATGTTGGTTTTAACCAAGTCACTCTTCTCAAATGATCACTAAATAAGTTATCATATCCCAAGTAACGTCAAAGGAAAATATCAAGAGTCTTAAGTACAAATGCTTTATGAAGTAAAATTGAATTTTACATAATTTATATTTTTTGATGAATAATTTTAACCAAGAGACAGTGGGGAGAAACTTCTAAGATTCAGCAGGTTTTCACCCAACAACTAGTTTATCAGCAAAACTCATGACTTTCCTCTAACAACCCACATTCTATTACCTAGGATCTTAAAAGTCTACTCTGTGGAGGACTGGAATAATCCTGCATAGCCCTTATCACAATTTGAAATTCTACACTAAACTGTGAATTTATTTAATGTGTTTCTCCCACCAGCCTAGATATGCTGTGAGGCCAAGAAGCATGTCTACTTTATTCACTTCTGTGTGTCTTATATAAAATAGGCCATCAAAAATGGGTTTAATGTTGAATGAATGAAACACGGAACAACTCCTACTATTCATCCTTCTCTACCCCCAACTCCCATACAACTTTGGGGATTAGTCTGACAACTAGCAAGCAGGAAACTTTTGTGTCTTCCTCACTTCTCTGTTCCCACTCTGTATCTGGCCCACTGTACTCTGGTGGTAATAAACACCTTCTATTAATGTTCTTCTCACATTGCATTATAAGTGACTGCCCCAAAAGGAAATGAACTAGTTACCTGTGTGCCCATTTATCTCTGACAATGCCAGGTGATTCCCTTGTTTCACTTTCTGACCAGCATCAAGAAATAGCTTATGAAAATGATACATTCATTAGCTCAGAATATAAGGAAGTATTGGATGGCATACAAGAAAAATTTTATGAAATCAAGTAAAGCCAATAAAGTATAACAGAATAAATCATCTCCTTCTAAGTCACACATTGACAGGATTAAAAATTGTAAAGTATCTTCCAAAAGGAGGATCCATCCTACACAATTAATATAACAAATCACCAAAAGTCCTATTCTTTTTTTCCATGTAAAATAATTCCTTCACAGTCTTTTCAGTAAAAAGCCAGAAAGAAATACATACATGATGGTGTTAATGCCTGAGAGCTGTTGGAACATTTGTAGACCACAACCCACAATTAAAGCTCGGCGAGTTGGGGGATAACTCAGCATTCTGCAGATCACAGGTCCAGCTTTTTTAAAAAAAGAAAGAAAAAGAAGGACACATCTATTATTTTTAGCTTCCACAGTAATTATTCCCATTAGGATCAATTTCCCCAAATCTCTGTGAAATCAACATGACTGGGCATTGTAAAATGGAACTTATAAACGTTTACAGAAATCCGGGCACAACCTCTTTTCTAAAACAGATTAGTATATATTTGAGTTCACACTGTTAAAGCAACAAGAAACAATTCAAGTTAAAGCAATTAATGGGTACTAGGAAGACCTACATAATTGGAACCGTCAGAAATTATTCTTCCTTAAATCCCTACAAACTGCATTAACTACTCTTCTTTTTCCACTTCCGTGGCAATTAATTATTATTTAAAATCCATTCATTGTGGGACTACTTACAAAGTCACTGGCAAATTGCTTTAATCAAAAGAATGGCATTCATTAAAAACAATTAAACAAGGAACAGAATTCATTCCAATTTATTTTACTTAAGTAACAAAATTCACTCCAGTCTATTCAATTAAAGTTAAGGAATTTAGGCATGATATAGGACTTGGTTATGGTTTATATTAAAGGTTATCCAAAAAGATAATAAAAGAAAAAAAATGTCTTTTATATAGGGGTATATACACATACATATACACAGACACACAGACACACTACATATATATATATATATATATATATATATGTTATTTCTAGGTTTTGAATAGCTCCGTCAGTGGCATTCAATGATCATTTCAAAATACAAATGGGCTTTCCAAATGGCACAGATGCCTTGGCCTATCAGAACTCTAGATCAATTCTGGAAAGCTGTAGGTATGAACCACTGAGGCCTTAAGTAAAGTGCCCCTTAGGTTCTCAGAAGTGCTTCAATTATACCTTCACCTTAGCTTTAAGGGGCATTCTATGCAGTGTCCTTGATGGGGCCAGAGTTGACTCCCCTGGACCTATGGCATTCCTGCTGTTAGAAGAGATGGCCTGGGATCACTGGGATGTTAACTGCTTAATTAGAGGCATTCTTCCTGGAGGCTGTTTCATTAGTGAACGCTAAACCAAGTCAAGTTTAAAATCCAAGGACATTTTACCATTCCGGAACCTTTTGGAAATCTAATATTTTAGTCCACAAAAATGGAATAAAATATACTATTGTCTCGGCAATAAAAATTAACATGGGATGTCGAACCAGGGTATTAATTAGAACTGAACATTATAGGAATGAGAATATTCATCTCTACATGGGTGTGATTAAGTCATATGAAGACTTGATTTACTGCAAACGATTCTGTCCCAAAATGGTAAGACAGGGACATGGACACAGAAGCATTTATGGTCATTTAAAGCTTAATGCAGTGACAACCATTTAGAAACCAAGGAGAGAGTACTGTAAATGTCAACTGTTTTAGATTCAAGTAAAGCAGAATTAAAACCCAGTACATCAGAAAGGCTGTGTGAAATAGGCAGATTTTGAAAGCTTTACTGTGACAATATTGAAATATATCTGGATCAGCTGTCTGAAAGGTGAACAGGTTTGCCTGCAAGTTCAGCTATCTATAAGTGAGCCACAACATAAAAAACATACACAGCATCATAAAAAGATCTACTGATTTCCATAAATCAAAAAATCTAAATGAAAAAGATTATCATTTACTTGGTGTACCATGGAAAATTTAAAACAACGACAACAAAACAAAAACAAATAAAACACCTTCTTCAAAGGCTTTTAGTAACCTCCACAGATAAGAAATAGGCCTTCTGCAAAGAATCTATTATAATCTGTGGGTAGCTGCATCTATTTTCACTACTAAACTGTTCTGTGATTTGATGGACAGATTACCTAATAATGTTTTTGGAGGGCAGGAAAATAAAGAGAAAATGAAGACAAATTAGGATTAAAGTTTGACTTGCCAAAATACCAAGAGATATACTACTGTATAAATATCACATATATACTTCCTAGTTTTTAAAATTCTGAGTTTTTAACTTTCTCTTGGTTTTGATTTCCTATTAAAAATAAACAATAGCAGTTCTGTTATTGGACTGGCTTTTTTTAAATATACAGATAAATTTTGGTCATAGTAGCTGCACATCTGATTATGCATAAATAAAATGAAAGAATTTCCTTTTATTAAAATCATAAACTTAGCTTTATTAGGCAGTAAAACTGACTTAACAAATGCAAACTATCATTAATTTTTATATTACAGAAGCTATGAGGCAGAAGAAAAATATCAAAAATATTAATTGGTTGAATGTTCATAAGTGAAAATTTAAAATGTCATGCTCTACTTATTACGTTTCTTTTGATTTTTGTAATTAAAAACATTCAGTGTATACAAACATGTCATGCTTAATTTTTAAAAAGATATTTATATCTTTGAGACACAAATTCCCACACAACAAAACATAAAACCTTTAAACGACTAAAGTAGATAAGAACTACAGGGCTCAAAATATAACATGTACTAAAACAACAGATGCAAGAACCAAAAATGGGTTCATCTTTTCCTTCTTTCTAAACACCTCATACTAAGTAACTTTCACAGTAATTGTCCAAGTGTGGCAGGTACTCTAGTGGCAAGGCTGCAAAGGACAGTCCTACAAGTTCAGCCATTCCTGTTAATAGCTGTCTGTGAGCCAAGCCTAGAGACGTTTTTCCAGGTACAATTAAAAATGCTCTAGAACACACTATATAAAATCCCAGCTCTTGAACTCCACTTCCAGCCAAAATGGAGTAATAGTTACCAGATTTACCTCCAACATGAAACCAGCTAGAAAGCCATGAAAAATGTAGAAGACAATAGGTTTCATGACAATGGATAACAGGCAATGAAGGATAGCGAATCCCGAGATTCAGGAAACAAAAGGGGTGAACCCGACAACAACTGTCCAAGTTTAATGCCTCAAAAAAATGTTTCCAGGCTGCAATACAAGCAGGGGAAGCTAGGCAGACTCTGGTGGTCTCCTTGAATTGAAAAGATGCAGCTCAGGATCCAGGGACACCATGGTGGCTGGAGTTGGGGCAGAGTGCCAGAGTGGAGAGAGAGGGCACAGAGATCTGCAGGCCCTGTTGGGTACTCCACTGAGTGGATATGTGTGAGGGAAATACTCAAGGCAGGAGAAAGAGCCACAGAAAGAGATTAAAAGAAATCAACTCCAGGATCTGTTTGTACCATCCAGAGGGAAAAACCTGGAGCGTAAGGAGGAGTAATCAAAAGGGTCTTACCTTGGTAATGGTATAAATTTAGTCCTACATTAAACACTGCTTGGGTACCATCTAAAACAGCTTAAAAATCAAGACCCCACCGATTCCAAGCACTGAATAGCATCCCAGAACAAAGTTCAGCAGTAAGAGAAAATTTATAATATCAAGCACACAATAAAAAATTATCAGGCATGCAAAAAGGCAGGAAAGTACAACTCGTCACAGTAAAGGGATTAATTCGTCCAGAGGACGTAACAATCCTAAATGTCTATGCACCTAATAAGAGCTTCAAAATATATGAAACAAAAATTGATACTACTGCAAGGGGAAATAGAAAAACCCATAATTATACTCAAATATTTCATCACCTCCTTTTCCATAACTCAGAATACATATGTAGGCTGAAAATCAGCAAAGATAGAGAAGACTTCAACAACACAATCAATGGACTTGACTTGACATTTAAATATCACTCCACTGACCAAGAGCACAATACAGAATCCTTTCCAACAGTAAATGAATGGTAAATGTCTTGGACTATTTACCTAGATCATATTTTCAGTTCTAAAACCGGTCTCAATTAATTTAAAAGGGTTTAAGTCATACAAAGAATGTTCTCAGACCATCATGAAATTAATATAGAAATCAACTGGAAGATAACTGGAAAATTCCTTCCAAATTGGAAACTAAATACCACATTTCCATGGGTCAAAGGAATAATGGAAAATTAGAAAGTATTTTAACGAAAGAATATGAAAACACAGCTCTGAAAATTTGTGGAATGGACCTAAAGCAAAACAGAGGAAAAAGTGGAAAAAAGATTCCACTTTACAAAACCAGAAGAAGAAGGACAAATGAAACCCAAAATAAACAAGATAAAGAGAATAATAAAGAGCAGAATGGAAATCCATGACATAGATCAAAATGACAGTTGGGGGTGGGGGGGAATCAAAGAAACCAAAAGCCCGTTCTTTGAAAATATCAATAAACTCTGAGCCACACTGTGGTGGGCTGAGTAACAGCCCCTCCATAAATATGCACATGTACTAATCCTTGAAACTTTTTAATGTTACCTTAGATGGCATAAAAGGACTTTGCAGATGTAATTAAATTAAGGATTCTGACATGGAAAGATTATCCTGGATTATTTGGGTTTGGGCCTAAATGCAATCACATATATTCCTATGAGGAAGGCAAAGGGAGATTCAGGATAAAATAAAAGGCAACGTGACCATGAATGCAAAGACCGGACCAATGCAGCCATAAGCCAAGAAATGACAGCTCCCACCAGAAGTTGGGAAGAGAAAAAAGCATACTGACCCGGAGAGCCTCTGGAGGGAGCACGGCTCTGCCAACATCTTGATTTCAACCCAGTGAAACGCATTTCAAACGTGCGGCCACCAGACCATGAGAACAAATTTCTAGTGTTTTTTAAGCTATCAAGTTTGTAGTGATTTTTTTACAGCAGCAATAGAAAACTAAAACACAGATGGACCAGGGGGAAAAAAAAAAGCAACTGGGGCGCGTGGGTGGCTCAGTCGTTAAGCGTCTGCCTTCGGCTCAGGTCATGATCCCAGGACCCTGGGATTGAGCCCCGCATCGGGCTCCCTGCTCAGCGGGAAGCCTGCTTCTCCCTCTCCCACTCCCCCTGCTTGTGTTGCCTCTCTCGCTGTCTCTCGCTCTGTCAAATAAATAAAACCTTTTAAAAAATAAATAAATAAAATCTTTAAAAAAAAAAGTAAGTTACCAATATCATGAGTAGGAGAAGTGAAATTGATATAGATTCTACAGATATTTTAAAAAATAATA